GGGGGAGTCACGGAATGATGATACCACAAAATCGTAAAAGTAAACTAGCTTACAAAGGAAAGAAATTTAGTAATTTACTACAAACGAGGCACTCGCCTACATTTTCTTACACGAACTCTGTTGTAATAAGGGAAGCCAAGACTAAAATTTTGCTCTGAGGGCGAGGTTTTGCTAGGAAGAAGATAAGATTGTGAACGTTTTTCAAAATACGATGTATTGGAATTGTAAACCGACGAATAAACATAGTGTGTGTAAATAACTTATTGATAAACAGAAATAGTTAAACAGTGAATTTTGCAACAGAAGTTTTTCTTATCGTGTTCTGAGACAGTTCACATCTTCGAGATTTATTTCTCTGTTTTGATATCATGCTAATATCCACACAGAGTTTCCGATGTAGTGTAATCTAGGGTTTTCAACCAGAACTTTTAAAGCGTCTCTTCCTTGTAAAATTATTCTCTATTCGAAATATAAAAAAAAAATGCAAAAAATATATTTTTTAATTGGTAAATTAGCTCCGTGTGACTTCTTCCTCTTCCCAAAGTTGAAAATTCAGCTAAAGGGAAGGAGATTTGAGACGATAGAAGAGATTCAGGCAGAATCGCAGATGGTGCTTGACAGGCTGACAAAGAAAGATTTCCAGGGATGCTTCCAGGCTTGGCAGCGGCGCTGGGATCGTTGTGTTCACTCCCAGGGGAACTACTTGGAGGGTGATGGATGAATTTAATACCTGAGATAAGTGTACGGGTTTTTATACGCGCAGTCTTGAAACTTTCTGATCGCACCTCGTATGTACAACCTACGCCACTTCTAGTAAGCATACAAAACTCTTGGAAAAGAAATGCATCTAGAATGGTATTTGCCACTAAGAAGTACCTCTCGTGGAAAAAATACCGGAACCATCCACTTCCTCCGAAGAAGGTATAAAAGTCATTGATTTAATATTTAATACCACTTATTCTTGCAGATAATGGAATGATCCTATAGAGATAACGTCATTTAATTAAATGCGTGAAGATATAAAAACATCTCAGTTAAAAATTATAACATTCAGCGTACGAAAAATATTTTATTTATTTATTTATTTAGTGTTCTGTCTGACGACAGGTCCATATGAACAGGATCCTTCCATCCTTATCTCGGACTGGGACCTGTTCATATACGTTCTTGGCAGATGATCCAGAAGTGGTTTGCCATTGCCTTCTTCTGTGTGTGAATGGAGTAATTGTTGGGATGCCACGGAGGAAAACTCCTTGTTGCCTAGACCACGGCCTTGCCCAACACAAGTTATAAATTCGGGCACCGCCAGGAATCGAACCCGAAACCCCAGGATTATAAGGACAGCGTTCTAACCGCTTTTTGTTATACGAAAAATATATCGAATAAAAATTATAACATTTTGGTTATTAATACATAAAGAAACTATGGTAACTTAATTTAAATATATCCCTCATATTAATTGATGCTTGAATCTGTGACTCTCTAAAACGTTTTAAACTGATCTTCGCTGAATGTTTTGTGTGATGGAAAACAATTGACAAACGGAAATTGAAGGACTCTAGAAAAATCTATCTCAGCGCAATTTTGTCCACCATAAGATTGCTCTGGGAACAACTTAGTTCACGTGCAATAACGCGTCTGTACGCATACGTATTGGGCTGATCAAGAACCTGTTTCAACTCGTTACGTCACTTCTTATTATGTTCAATTTTCCTTTGCATTTCGACTCTTTCTTGTTTTTTTTAAAGTGTCAGTGATGTAGTTGCTGGCTGCTGCTTCTACAACCAACATGCTAGGTATTAGTCATTGGATTCATGGTCAATTGTGCTGGACGTATTGAAACGCTGTATTTCATTGGTGGAGGGATCATAGTAGTGCCAACAGAATAACAAATATTGCGTGTGCAATGAATCATCCGTAAGTCTGTGACAGTGAATTTGTTGCCGTCGAACAGTGCAGAAGGTATTTCGTGAGGCTATCTTCACGGGAAACGACACGTAAAAGTGAATAGATTAATAAGAGAATTATCTAGATTTACTTTAATAATTTATGATACGTGTTGATACAAATACGATTTTTTAATAGCAGTACTACGATTTATAACAGTGCGTCTTTTAAAGGTAATTCATTTTAAAATGTGAGAAGCAATTTAAGTAGTGTGTTTGAATTTTGAGGTTAATCACGTCATTGCTAAGAACTGAGCTGTTAGATTCTTGCTGTTGAAGTAATTAAAATTTTTTAATTTCATCTCAATAACGGACGTTCCCTACGTTGTGCCTTCGCGTTATATTGATAGAGCAAGTTTGTAATTCGAATTTAGATCGGACTTTGAACTTTATTTTACAGTTATTCTGTCATGCAAAATACGTCAACACTTATACATTGTTTGACTTCTGTTGAGAAATTAATAGTCTGATCACCAGATAAAAATAAATGTAAAATATAAAATTACTCTTGATAAGAAGACGTATGGGGGCGTGGAGGTGTGAATAGTGCGGTGTATTAATGCAGAAACTAATTGGGAGTGTCTCTGTTAGATGTGTTTGTGTCAGTTTATGCTGAAATAAGATCTTAAGCAATCATGTTACGTATCTTATATATGAAAGTTTTCCTCAAACCTATCTTCAGCTCAAACGTGTGTAGTCTTTCATGATAGTTACTTCAGCAGCGAGAAAGTGAAGGTATAAATACAAGAGGAAAGCCACCATGTTGAATTTGAAAGCTCGTGTGTAATTACGATAATAAATTTGTGTAGCAGGTTTGATCGACTTTCAGTCTACGCTTACGACATAGAAATGTTCGTAATAATTCTTTATATAGGCCCACAGTTTGATACAAGGCGTATGCGTCAAGGATACCAACATTTTTCTTTGCGTGTAGAAATACGCCAGGCCAGACGTTAAATGACTCTTACTAGTTCCATTTAGGATAATCAAATTAGGAGAATGAGAAAAATAGGAATGTAGCACACATCGGAGATATAAAAAATGTGCATAAATTTTTGGTTGGGAAACGACAGTAAGAGGTCACTTGGAAGATCTAGGTGTGGGTATAAATTTGAAGATAATATTAAAACGGTTCATAAATAATTTGGGTGGGAAGGAATGGACTTGTTTCAGATATTTATTTTAGACCAGTGAAGTAGCTGATTATGGACTGGATGACGGGCCTTCGATTCCCGGTAAGGGTAGATTGCTTTGTTCAAACCCATCCAATCTCGTATCTACTTTTTATCAAGGCGAAGCAAATTAATGTAATGCCAAAGTATAGAATACGTAAAGTTTTCCGTAATTGCTCACTACGAAATTCAAATTAAAATGTTAAAATCTTAATACATTTTAATATCGACAAATGATATTATAAGGGGTTCCAGAATTAATGAAACCGATGTTAATAACAAGAATTTTAATTTTCTTTAACATCACGTAAATGCTAAAACGCGTTGTTCGATAATAATAATAAACAGATTTCCGGGCCAAGATTTTAAACCCGTACTTTCGGAAAACGAAGCAGAAATTTTAACTACTCGACCACAACGCTCGGTAGATCAACGTAGTAATTATCTCACGTCGTTATTATTATTATTATATTATTATTTAGTGTTCTGTCTGACGACAGGTCCATATGAACAGGATCCTTCCATCCTTTTCTCGGACTGGGACCTGTTCATATACGTTCTTGGCAGATGATCCAGAAGGGGTTTGCCATTGCCTTCTTCTGTGTGTGAAGGGAGTAATTGTGGGGATATGAGCAGGATCCTTCCATCCTTTTCTCGGACTGGGACCTGTTCATATACGTTCTTGGCAGATGATCCAGAAGTGGTTTGCCCTTGCCTTCTTCTGTGTGTGAATGGAGTAATTTTTGGGATGCCACGGAGAAACCGGGGAAGCCCCCGTAGGAAAACTCCGTGTTGCCTAGACCACGGTCTTGCCCAACACAAGTTATAAATTCGGGCACCGCCGGGAATCTAACCCGAGACCCCAGGATTACAAGGCCAGCGTTCTACCCGCTAGACCACCTCATCTTATTATTATTTTGTGTTCTGTCTGACGACAGGTCCATATGAACAGGCTCCTTCCATCCTTTTCTCGGACTGGGACTTGTTCATATACGTTCTTGGCAGATGATCCAGAGGTGGTTTGCCATTGCCTTCTTCTGTGTGTGAATGGAGTAACTTTTGGGATGCCACGGAGGAAAACTCCGTGTTGCCTAGACCACGGCCTTGCCCAACACAAGTTATAAATTCGGGCACCGCCGGGAATCGAACCCGAGACCCCCAGGATTACAAGGCCAGCGTTCTAACCGCTAGACCACCGTGGCGGTGTCTTATTTGATTACAGCTAAATTAATGCGGACTTCCTACATGAAAAGTTTCCCCACCCCTGTTTTAAGGTGTCATGACCTTTTTTGTTGAGTTCTTGAATCACCGGTTTCGGTGGTCCTGACGTGGATTAATCCGTTCTGGTTTTCCAAGAAAACCACAGTAAGTACTTAGAGGAAGTTAGATGGGTAACGTAGCTGGGTATTTATCGTGTTGCAAGAGCTTACGTCACGGACGTAAGATCTAAGAATGTCGTCCCTTTTGAAGGCTGTCGGATATGTACATGTGGCCCTGTTTCCTGTTGTAACCCGAGCAGTTCTTGCGGATGTACCATTAGTCTTAGTTGGAGAATACACGGAGTAGCCTCGCGGTAACATTTATCGCTCCAAACAGGATTGCCATTTCCTGTACTTCGCTTATACACAAAAGGACTTTTTGAATCTGTGCTTTTGACTGTGTGACAGTGTTCCTTTTCAGCATGATGTGTTCGTGGCGGAATCGTGTTTGTGCGTTGTTTTTATTCACACTGATATTAATTACCGATGGATTCAATCTGAACTGGAGAGATGCTTTTGTGTTCCGTGATCCACAAGGACAGATGGGAAGTTACTTCGGTTTCAGTGTTGCGCTAAGGCACCAGGGAGCAACCCATTGGTAAGTACATCTAAATGGCCACTAGGAGCGCTGTATGTGTTGACCTACAGCGCTCACGTATGTTGAACTTGTACTTCTAATCAATGTAAGTTCATTAACCAAGTTAAGATAATGACGAGGGGAGTAATGAGTGGATTACACAATCATGGGGGGGTAAATTAGGTGGGGGACACAATATGAGAGTACGGATGCGTGGGATGAGAAAATATAATATTTTAGTACACAAAAGATTACTTGAAAAATGAGATATTAAAATATATCTTTCAGGAAAAATATGTTTGAGTGTGAACTTGATTAATCTGCACGGGAGTTACATTTAAATATCACAACAACCAATTGTCATTAAGGAACGGTTGTGTAGGCGATGATTCACGACACGTGATGGGGGTGCGCCATCTTAGACGATGTGTCGAAATTTGCAAATTCAAATCACCGTAGGTCATATTCATTAGGAAATATCTGGAAACTCAATTATCGGGCTTGGTGATGAGAGGATTTGCCTGTCCATACCGAGAAATGGAGACGAGGTCATTTACAGCTAATCACGTAAGTGACTGAGTTATTCTTAAATGACGTTCGTGTGTGATTCAGATAATAATTTAGGCATATTCAGGAAATTATTGTTATTAGTCACCTCAAAATGTGTTTTAATTACGTTTGATTTTAAAAAAAACATTGGATACACATAAGCATGCATTTATAACTACATATGTTTATATTTAAATATATACAGTAAGATTCACAGTTTTCTTTTGATATTTGAACGTGATTCAATACCTTTCTTTTGAGAATGATTTCTGGAGTGACAAAATCATTTAGAAATATTATTTTTCTGTGGCCAACATTAACAGAATGACGTCACAGATTTCCAGTACATGTTTTTGGCGTATTTCCAAAGATGACAATTACAATTGAGTGTTCCTGGAAACGTAATGGAAATTTTATTCATGAAGTAATACGTCACTCTAAGTACGTTTTATTCCTTTTAAGGCACTCTGACAAAGACGTCGAAGATGATAAAGAAGTGACCTTGAAATTTTACAAAACTGTTCTGAAACCATTACTACGTGATCATGAATGGTGAATGATAAAGGATTTAGAAGGAGATGGTCTTGACCTATTTCGGCACATTTTCCTGGCATCTGAATGTAGAATCTGAGGAAAACCTCAGTCAGGTTATATGATAGATTTTCAAGGATTCGAACCGTGTATACCTAAATACGAGTTTGCAACATCGTTGCACCACAATGTTTGTGTAAAATCAGATGAAATGACGAGGAAAATAGTATAATTGGGCCTGCAGTGTACCCACACAGTTCTATCGCCTAGTTACTTAAGTGTAGGAAATGCAGTGACTTTTTTTTAGCGAGTGTGGGGAGTTCTATCGCCTAGTTACTTAAGTGTAAAGAAATGCAGTGATTTTTTTTTTAGCGAGTGTGGGAATTTCGCCCCTTCCGTCAAGTCGGGTCCGACCCATGACACAAAATTCGCTTCACGGATGCGCTGTCTAAAATATCACTGTAAATTCCCATAGAATTAAGGCAAAAAAAAGAGGGAATTATCACAAATTCGTGTTAATTGTTTTATGACAGTGAAATTTCTTTACATATTATTTCACTTCGATGCTAAACGAGGTTTAACGTTTATTTATTTTTTAAAATTTTTTTGATCTTATAAATTATACGAGTCAATTGAAATTAAACTTCAGGCCACTAGGGGCCTTAGAAATTCGACCATGGTTAAAAGAGCCTGATACAAATTCTAATAATATTTTTAAAGTAATTTTGTTGATTAAATTAACTTTAAGTGTAACATGCAAAGATATGTCAAATATTGTCTTTAGATGGTACATACACTAATATCATTTCCAATATGTGCTAGATTTTAATAGAATTTGTATCTTATATGCGTCATGTTTGTGTTTGATTAAATATATTTATTTTGTACAGTCTATACACAAACGTTTGAAGTTTATTGGTGTTGTAAAAATTATATAATATTAAAACATTTTGTTGTGTAAAATATTATATTAGCGCTCTTAATCGTAAATACGATTTTACATTATATTTTTTTAGCGCTTTTTATTAAAACGACATGTTTCGACGGGTAATACCGTCGTCTTCAGGTTTTTATCAATTTAAAATATTTTAAATTGATAAAAACCTGAAGACGACGGTATTACCCGTCGAAACATGTCGTTTTAATAAAAAGCGCTAAAAAAATATAATGTAAAATCGTATTTACGATTAAGAGCGCTAATATAATATTTTACACAACAAAATGTTTTAATATTATATAATTTTTACAACACCAATAAACTTCAAACGTTTGTGTATAGACTGTACAAAATAAATATATTTAATAGAATTCTTTTCTTCTTTGACTATATTTCACGAGAACGTTTATTTTTTGTTAAAAGAACTATAGCCGTTGTGTGGAGATAGGTCGAAACGAAAATGGCAGTAATTATTCGAAAATCTTTCCAAACAAATCGCTGTGGAAACACTTTTGAGTCTGTAGGTCTCACATGTAGAAATTTAAAGTTTACCAACGTTTACGCATTCTTTCAGCGGAAACTAACTTGAGTAGATGGGAGGATAATCTTTTGAATCATAAAGAAGGAGAGAGTTCCAGGCTTCTTCCGCGTCGTATGCTACTGATGACGTCAGTGAAGACGTCATGGCTACTGGAATTAAAGCTTTAGGCAGAAGGCGAAGTTTAAATTTTCTGGTTGATAGTTTGATTGGTCTAAGGTAGCGATTATGTTATTTATAAATCGTGAGGGATACTTTTGAAGTACGATGTTCTTCTAAATAATGTTTAAAAAAAACAACAAATTCCGATCTCAAAGAAAATACAACGCTTATACATTATAAATTTTAATTGTATAATGTTAATTAAGTAATCGTTGTTTGTTCTAGATCAAATATATAAATAAACTGTATCAGAAAAGTGTAGTTATTGATTGCTAAATGTTTAATGGGAATGTGTATGATGGAGAATGAGATTAAGAAGCTATATATATAGTCTTAATACCTGTCTAACTTGTTATTGGAATTCTGTTTTCGTAACGATTTCAATCGAACATTGCATTTTATTGGTTGAAAACAGGTCAATATAATTTTTTATTACATACTTCCAGGCTTATTCTATAATTTTATCCATGTTATGGGCCACAGGGATGAAGATATTCAAACTTAATTACGTTTTATATAATTGACAATAACTTATTTATTCGTATTGCCTGAATTTAAAATAACGGAGAAAAGATTGATAAAACATCTGAGTACATTTGTCTTATCTTTCTATCTCTGCCACGTGGTCAGCTCTATTTCTTCGTATCTGGGAGGTCCCGGGTTCATGGCCTGACCCCCTGATAGCGTCACTGAGTAACCGCAAATAGAAACAGTTTCCTGTGACGTTATTGGTGCGATTAAATTGAGGGAGGGTAAGTTCCTACAGGATTTTGGTTTTGGAAACGTATCGTGTATGGGAGGTTAATATTAAAATGGATTTTGGAGATGTGAAATGGATTGTCATCGCTCTGGATTGGATGAAATTAGGCGGGATTTATGAGAAATATTCGGGCTTCATGTAAATTAAATTTATTTAATTAACCGTTTGAATTCGAAGAATTTTGCCTATTCTGATGTTTTGAATATTCCTCGTATCTCTGTTGATGATGTTACGCGGGCAATTAGTCGTCTCCGTTCGACGAAATGCGTCGGACCCGATGAAATCCCGACTTTCGTCATAAAAGGTTGTTCTGAGATTTTAACTCCTCTTTTACGCCATATTTTCAACCTTAGTTTATCTAGTGGGAA